GAAGTATTTCAGATTGCATGTGAAAACCCCACACTGTACCCCAGAAGTGCATTAATGTACATAGTTACCGTTCAATAAAAAAAAAAATAAATAAATAAAAAAACATGGGCACAGGTGTTTGAAGCCAGCTGGAAAGCTGGACTCTGTTCCTTACATCAGACTGGCCAGAAAAGCAGATGTCATGTCCCTTAGAAAGCTCCACCTGCAGGAAGGGTCACCAACAGATGTTCATTATTACAGTCAATGCTCTATTTCACACCATGTTTACTTTGCTTATAATAGACAATGGAAGAAAATGAAAAAGAGCATGAGGTTTGTAGACCTAAAACCCAGGAATTGAGTGAAGCCTCACTGACTGTGTGATTTTGGTTCAGCAAAGTCAGTTAAATGTAATTGATCCTCAGTCTCTATACCTGGAAAATAGGGAAGGGTGTAGATTAAAAGACAGAATGCTTATTAAAGTTCTATAATATATAACTAAAATCATAGACAAGTCAAAATATTTTAATTCCTAATTTCAGAATTCTTTAGTATTCCGTGAGAAGAAAAAAATATATTTAAAAATAAAAATGAAATTTATAACTTGCCATGAGGCATGCATAGCAAAAGATACAAGAAAAATAAAGAGTTTCAAACCTATAACCTCAGGCCAAATTCTGTGCAACTGTTTTGAGTTGGGGATATTATTTGCATGAAAGGGAAATCACAGTCAATGATAATTTTCCTCCTCTTACTGGGCCTGAGACTGTGAATAAAATGAAAGGAAGTTTCACAGTGACTAGCAATAACGATTAGTTTCATATATCATTTAAAATTTTTAAATTTAAAATTCAAAGGTTAAATGTACTTTTTTACTTATAGCCCACGAACCAATATATAATAAATTTTACTATTACGGCACTGGGGAGGAACAAATACAACTAAGTCCAAAATTTATAAACCATAAGCCATACATGTAAGATCTGAAAGTTGATAATTTCACTATTTATAGTTCACAAAAGTATCTGCAAAGTAGGAAAAGTCCACATCATTTTTGCATCAAGTAAAGGTAATGCACTCCTCAATGGCAGCCTGAGCTTCCACCCAATCCTGCTTCATACAAAACTGTGCGCCAATTCACTTCTTTTAGTAGTAGTAAATTTAAAAAACAAAAATCTTTGCTATCTTGTCCTTTTTGCAGCATCAGCAAGGAGTGACTTTTCACATATCTGATGTCAAATCAAATTTTAGGAGAGAATCCCAGAACAAGAGAGACAAAGTTGACTAAAGCTTACATAGGAAAAACCAGTTGTGGGCCAGATCTAGCAACAGAGATCTCTAAGAATGGGTGCCAGAAGGGCTGAGAAAAGAATGTCTTGAATAGACTTGTTCATTTTCTTTAACCAGTGATGATAAAGGAAAATACAAGATCAACCCAGGCTCAGCAGCTGTCACATCTGTACTCTGCCAGTTGAAACCAGAACAACTTACCTTTCATTGGTTTCTATATCAAAACAGAATCTCTTGTCGATAGATTCCGTCTTCCTTCTCACACAGTACTTCAGGGTTAAATCTAGGGGCCCCTAATTTGAAAGAAAGATTACCAGACAATCAGAAAAAATTTCACAAAATAATATTCTTCCTCATATAGTGCCCTCAATGTCACTTCGAAGGCATATATTAAGGCAGCAGGAGTAATTTGTAGACCCAGTAAGAACCGTGGCCCTCCAAATGGTACTTGCAACAAAATTGCAGATGGTTTTTCTGTGCTCCAATAATCAATGGCTGACATCAGGAATAAAGGCTCAGCGCTATTATCCAGGCATGGCAATTAAACTGGAAACTCAATACACATTATGTAAATAGGGTATAGGAAAAACAGCCCAAATGGTAGGTATTAAGTATACTGAATAAAATTTTCATGGAGCCTCTAGGAAGGGGTAATTGGCTATCTGAATCTGCTCCTACAAATTCAGGGGGAAGCTAACAAAAAAAGCTTTCATTAAAGTGGAAGATGGAGGAAAGGCGACAAACATCTGATGGCATTTGATATTTCACATGTGCAGGACAGTATAGCCCACCTTACACTTGTAGGCATTCAAGGCCACTAAAACTCACTATGTACATAAACTGAAATTCCACAGTCCCATGTTGTTTAGTTTCCCTCTATTATCTCAACAGAGATAATGTGGTAAAGATAAGAGAAGTACCATTTATTTGTCAATAGCTACATTCCACATACTATGTTAAGTATTTTTAAACCAACATTCTTTCTCTGTAACGATCCTTAGAGAGAAGTGAAACTCAGAGAGGTAAAATGGCTTACCAAATAGATATAGTGGAAATAACAAGACACTAGGAAGTTTAAGACCTGAAATCTTGCCTCAGTTATGCTACTAGTTACAACACTCTAGGCACTTCACAATCTATTAAAAGGATAAAACACTACATACTAATATCTCAAATTCAGAAACAACACCAAGTGCTAGTCCGTGCCTTGGCACCATGCCATTCTAACTAGCTCATGTGGTTGATTGCCCAATACTTCATTCTCACTGGCACACTCAACCCCTTGCAGGCCAACCATATTGCTGTTTCTCTAATATAAATACTCAGCCCTAACTTAATCCTTCACTATGCCTTAAATACCTCAACTATTAAGATGTCACATGTTATTCTTTCAAGAGTGATAAACACAGTCATATATCTCAGGGCATAGCTAGGCCCTGCACCATCTCTAGAAGCTCCCCACCTGTTTAATATGCCTGAATTGCAAAAGTACTCTTATTTCAAAAATATATCATACTATTTAATGACTTTATGACTTACATATATTATTCCCTCCACCAAAAATGGCTTTTTTTATATTCTTTGCCTGGCTAAATTCTTACTTGTTCTATAAACTGGAGTTCAGCTTTCATTTCCTCCAAAATCCTCCTCCCCTAACCACATACATTGGCCACTATATTTCCCCAAATGACTGAAAGCCCTGAAGAATATGGACAGTCTCTTATTCACCTTTATTTCTTTTGCACATAACAAATAGTTATAGTTATTACTTAATGAACCGAATGATCACCTTTGCCACTTTTCAGATGAGGAAATTAAGACTAAGCAACATTAAGCAATTTACTTAAGTTCAGAAGACCACAGAGTTGAGATTTAAACCAAGTTTTTGAGACTCAAAATACAGCACTCTTTCTTCTGACCACAGCTTCCTAGCAAAGAAGAGATAAGAATCCAATAAAATATTGCTTGGAAAGATGCATAAAGGAACAGAACATCACAAATGAGAATAGACAAGAAGAACTACTGCAGAACACTATAAATTGCCATCTCAGAAAGAAGGTCAATTCCAATAACTGCTAATTTGAGTCATGACACTTATTGTACATGAACATGAACATGATTGAATGATCTAGCTCAGTGACAGGCACATAGCATGTATATAAGAAATAGTGATTTCTATGGTGCTATTCTTATTAATTAATATAATTTTTAATTTTTATTAATTTTGCTTTTTAAAAATGGTTTTGGGTTAGGAAGCAAGACGGCAGTAAGTAACAGCTTCTTTGCAACTGGGTGCAGTGAGACTGGGGAGAGAAGACATCAGATATCTCTGACTTATGGGTTCTGCCCAGAAACATCCCTTTGTGGACACAGTGAGACACTGAGAGACTTCTGGACCCCAGGAGGAAGACAAAAACACCGAAGAACTGACAAGTAGTTGTGTGCATTTGTTCAGTCTGAGGCCATAGCTGACACAGCTGTAATCACAAAAGCAGTGAGACCGCAAACAGGGAAGGCCTGTCCTGTGGGCGGTTTTGTTTTTTTTTTTTGGACTTGGACACTCAGTTGAACTACCTTGGGAGAACTTGGGTGAGAGTTCGGATGGGTTTAAGCATTGTCCAGGGCCCCAGACTGAGCCACTGAGCCAGAACGGAGCTAATATTGTTCAATTGTGGGGCGGGCACAGCCATTGTGGGAGAACTACCAGAGCAGGCTCCACCCTAAGGGTCACAGGGCTGGGAGACATACGGCAAGTGATCTAGTGACTGAGCAGTGCCAAAGGCCAGGACTGAGATGGTGGGGAAGAGGTAAGATTCCAGTGTTTGGCAGTAGCAGGGCTGCCCAGCAGCCGTGGGCCTCAGGGTCATGGAGTAAGACCAGTTTGGGTGCAACAGACAAGCGGGCAGACATTTCACAAGAGATCCCAGTGACAAGTGCTTTCTTGGGAAAGCTTCTGTTTAGCCAACATTAACAGTTTAAAGTGTCTTTTAAGCAGGCTGAGGAGACATTTTGGCTCTCAACCCTGTGGGGTTTGAGAAACCAGCAGAGGCCTCTAGTTTCCATCTCATACAGCTGTATCAGCATTGTAATTAACATCTCATACCCCAGAAGATCACCTGTTGCCCTGATAATATTCAGCAAGATATATATATTGCTTTGTTTTGGGTTTTGATTTTTTTTTTGTATTTATTTCACCATTTTCCCTCTAGATTTTTCTGTTTTTTCTTTCTTCATTATTTTAGTTTAAATGTAATTTTCCATTGTTGCCTTCTTAAATAATAAGAACTTCATTTTTGCTTCTGTGTCTGTCCCTATTATTTGGTCTTTCCCCTGATTTTATCCCATAAGGTTTTCTGTTTGTTTGTTTTGGTTTGATTTATAGCATTTTTATCTTTCCCCTCTATTTGACAGAGGTGGGGTACAGTGTCTGAACAGGCTGGCAAAGAGACAAAGATAGTCACTTCATATTTGTCAAGGGAAAAATACAACAAGAAGACAATTCAATTCTAAAGATTTGTGCACCCAAATTAAATGCTCTCAGATTCTTGAAACAGACCTTAATAAGTCTGAGCAATGTGATATTCCATAACACCATAACAACAAGGGACTTTAACACTCCTCTTATAGATCTGGACAGATCCTCTAAACAGAAATTAAACAAAGATATAAGGGACTTAAATGAGACCCTAGAACAACTGTGCTTTATAGACACATATAGAACACTCCATCCCAAAGTTAAAGAATATATATTGTTTTGCATCAGCCCAGGGAACATTCTCCAAAATTGATTATATCCTAGGAAACAAAACAAACCTGAAAAGAATCAAAAGAATTGAAATTTTGCCTTATATCTTCAAGACTACAAGGCACTAAAGGCGGAACTCAACACCAACAAAAATGTTTAACCCCACACAAAGGCATGGAAATTAAACAACCTTAAGCTGAATGAAAGTTGTGTGTAGAAAGAAATAAAAAAGGAAATCATTAACATCCTCGAGAATAACAACAATGAAGATACAAGCTCCCCAAACCTGTGGGATATAGGAAAAGCAGTCCTGACAGAAAAAATTTATCGCTTTATATGCCTACATTCGAAAACCAGAAAGAGAAGGCATCAACAAACTCACAATCCGTCTTATGGAATAGTAAAAAGAACAATCTAAGCCTAAACACAGCAGAAGAAAAGAAATACCCAAAATTAAATCAGAGATCAATGAAATTGAAACCAAAAGAATCATTCAGAAAATTAATGAAACAAGGAGATGGTTTTTTAAAAAAATAAATGAAATAGATAAACCTTTGGCCACACTAACTAGAAATAGAAAAGTAAAATCTCTAGTAACCTCAATCAGAAATGATAAAGGGGAAACAACAAATGATGCCACAGAGAGACAAGAGACTATCTCTGAATACTTCCAAAAACTCTATGCCCAGAAATTTGACAATGTGAAGGAAATGGATTAATATTTGGAATCAGACCCTTTCTCTAGACTTAGCCAGGAAGAAATAGATCTCCTAAACAGACTAACTTCAGGTACTGAGATCAAAGAAACAATAAAAAACATGTCCCCTGGCTTGGCGCCTATAGCTCAAGCAGCTAAGGTGCCAGCCACATACCCCAGAGTTGGCGGGTTCGAAACCAGCCTGGAACCACCAAACAACAGTGACAGCTACAACCAAAAAATAGCCAGGCACTGTGGTGGGTGCCTGTAATCCCAGCTACTTGGGAGGCTGAGGCAAGAGAATCACTTAATCCAAAAGAGTTTGAGGTCTCTGTGAGCTATGACGCCATGGCACTCTACCCAGGGCAACAGCTTGAGACTCTGTCTCCAAAAAAAAAAAAAAAAAAAAAAAAAAAAGCACTAGCATTCATGGCTTCACACCAGAATTCTGTCGAATCTTCAAGAAAGAGCTTATTCCTGCACTACAGAAATTATTCCAAAAAATTGAGGAGGAAGAAATCTTCCCAAAAATGTTCTATGAAGCAAACATCACTCTGATACCAAAAACCAGGAAAAGACCCAACTAAAAAGGAGAATTTCAGACCAATTTCACTAAGGAATATAGATGCAAAAATTCTCAACAAAATTCCAGCCAATAGATTACACCTTATCATCAAAAAGGTCATACATCATGATCAAGTAGGTTTCATCCCAGTGAGGCAAGGCTGGCTTACCATATGCAAGTCCATAAATGTTATTCACCATATCAACAGAAGAAAAAACAAAGCCCATCTCCTCTCAATAGATGCAGAAAAAGCATTTGATAAAATCCAGCATCCTTTTCTAATTAG